AAATTTCCCTGGTGCCAGCTTGTGCCGAGCCCTGGTCCGGACAATAGGATGCGACGCGCTCGAGCTGCTGCATATTTCCTGCAAGGTATTTGTCGCGTTAAAGCGTTACTGGGGCAGCATTGTCTCGACACATAATGCTGTCTCGGTATTTTGACGCGAAACGATTACTTGTGTTGTGCCGTCATTCCGCGCTCACAAAAAACTTTGGGCTGAGCGAGTTAAGAGCGAATGTCCGAGTTAGTCATAGAACATATGACATGCTAAATAGAATGATTTGTATTCCATATTCGAGCTAAAAGAATTTTTTGTGTTACAGTGCAAGTCAGTGCAGCTCGGTTTCACACTAACTTAGGCCCCTAGAACGGCAAGTGTCCTCCTCGCAACGCTCAGGGCCGTTTCGCAATTACAGTATCTGTACCAGAAACCCACATCTGCGTCGATTCTCTTTACTCTCTAACTAGCAGAATGCCAGCGCTGTGTGTTGACAAAGCCTTAGGCAAAGGGGACCGCTGCTCTACAAAGATGTTCGGCTTACATCTGGAATAGGTACAACATGCATTATCAATTTCAAACCACATTATATTTGCAATGGTCGAAGATTTAATATTGGTTTTTCAACTTCTGAAAGATATTTGAAAAATAAATATTATCCAAGTTTTGATTTGCAGACTATTTAAATTCGTATACGCAAATATTGGTATCGTTAAGTCGTAGAACCGCACGCAGTAGCAGTAGATAGCGGAGCAGGCGCAGCAGAGCTGGTAACTGGCATGATCAACTAATAGTCTATCTAGCAATTCGGAATGCATTTCGAATATTCGCGTTTATTGCATTAATTACTTGAAGACAAATACTCGGTCTCATACTGCACAGCATCACCAAGCTCATACCGCTATAATTTCTCATTCAAGTAATACCGACAAACAAATGTAGTTTGAAAATGTAATATCAGTGCCTAATGCGCTCAAAGGCTACTGCCGGACGAAGGCGCAAAAGCAATGTTAGTTGAGCGGGCGCGAGCGCGAACAAGTATCTCCACCGTTGTAAACCTTGCGCCTCATGCGCTCTGCTAATATAGTCGCGCTCGCGCCTCTAAGTTTTGCGACCTCGTTCGGCAGTAGCCTTCCTGCTGTTTACGAGAAATGTCCCTTTGGTCGAAGCGGCCATTCGATGATTGTATGTTGCTAAAGTTAGTGATGAATGCTGATCTCAAAACTGCAACCCTTATTTGCATAGCGCTTCTTGAAGAGCTGTAACGCCAGAAACAAAAGTTCAGAAACTCTGCTTGTAAAAAAGTCCGAACACGCGACTCTCTGTGCGATAAACGATTACAATCGCACTGCACCATTCCATCATGATGGCCTGTACTATGGCTTGCATGGTAATCCCCTTTAGTGACCTTTGAAGTTGAGATGCTCCCGATCTGCGCGGACTCGCTTCAAGTACAAGTGTTGGAAGCCTATTTATTTAAACAAATTGTCTTTCACTGTAATCTCTTCTCAGCATATCATCTGAACAGTGGTAAACGACACCAGTAAGTCAGCTTTCCTCAAGTATTGCAGTAACTTTTGATACTATCTAGTATTATTAGACTATCCGGAAGTAATTGCAGGTTCCTTTTCCGATTGCGGCCTTGTTAATATGAAAGTGTGGGAAACATATCACTCGATGGAGCAAAGTAACCTTAAAGGACTGCATTATGATCACAAAAGTTTGATCCAGTAAAGTTTGAAAGTAAAATCCAAAAAATTGAATACCTAGAAATCATACTTCCGTCCATAAAGATCCTGCGGACTTCCAACATGCTCTCTACATCAAACATCTATATGCAGACTTATAGCTTTCTTACAATGGTTCAAAATTGAAAAGAAAATGGGCCAAAAATGCGGAAATATCGCCTTTTTGAGCTTTTCATGCTAAATTCAGTATTTTTCGGAAAAAAAAACTTTGTAGGAAGCTGAAAGTATGTACCTGTACTTCTAAAGGTTTGTAGTATAGAACTACCTAAGTTAGAATGATCAGCTAGATCATGTCAACTTTCATTTAATCAACTTCTAACCGTGGAAAAATTATCGCAGTTTACATATGAATGTTCTTCAGTGTTTTTGAGCCAAAACAAGTTTGTTATATCTTAATTATTGAGTCTAACTTTCGGCATTACCCTAAAATCCGGCATATAAGTCCGCCTCTCAGATAAGACCGCAGAAGAACTCTCAGTTAAGTCCGCTTTCGTGACAGCCTCGCGTCGCCAAGTCCCGCGGATAAGTCCGTCTTACTTTTTCACATGAAAACAAGAAGGATGCGCAATTGCGCTGCCTTTTTTGGTCTCAGAAAAGCTTAAGTCACAGCATGTGAGACTATGCTGGAAATATAGGGCCGCGTGATTGCGAACTTCGCTGAGTTACCGGTCATTGCACAATGGAATCACGCGGAGTCCTATAAATTTGTGCTGATCATCGAAAGGTTTACTCTTTTACAAGAAAAAGCAGGCGGCGTCAAATTTGACTACACTATCTTTTGTCTTGGATGTACAGGCTTAATGAAACAACAGATGAGAAAAAGAACAAGGAAGCCTAATGCTTTGCTAAGGTTGAGCATTCTCAGGCTGTCACTCTTCCGTTCAAGAAAGCATTTGACAAAAGCCGTATAGCGTGGGTCAACAGAGACTAGGTTCAGAACATGTAAACAATAAAGGAAGCAAAAGGTATAGGCAGCCAGGTTCAAAGTTGTAGCCTGTACAGTTTCGAGAGATGTATTGAAAACATTGTCGCTTTCAAAACGATAAGATGAATGATAAGATGAGATGATTGCAATGATACAATGAGAAAACCTATTATGATTTTACCGGCAGAAATATTCCATGTGTACAAGCACTGTCTTATATAGGAAAAGAACCCACCAGCGTATGTGATGACCAATCCGCGACGAAACTGTCAGCAAGTAGACTGCACGACTTGTCGAATCGTTTGGCGGTCTCTTTTAGGGGAGTTCACGGCTTGATTCCAATCGCTGAAACATGTGATATCCAGAACAACTTCTCTGTAGCCTTTTGCAAAACTACGAACCGTTTGTGTCCTTGTACTTCGTCAATTACCGCTTGGAACTGAGTATACGCGACGATCAACGTTCTAAAAACGCTTTGTAGGAGATGCATGTACTGTAGTTAGCCTACATCAAAAATCTCCCCCGCCTAGTGTTTGCTGGCAGTGGGGTGAAATCCGACCTTACCATCGTGTCATCAACTTCAATACAAAAGAAATGTCATATTAAAGAGAAGAACTCACCTATCCAACGTATGCGGTGATGAATCCGCGACGATACTGCCAGCAAGTAGACTGTACGACTTGTCGAATCCTTGGGCTCTTCCTTTCAGGCGATATCGCGGCCTCGTTTAAATCTACATGGCAAGCCACGCGGGCGGTCGCACGCGTCTGTGCTCCTAGGTCGCGCTTGCTCATGCTCAGGACAGGCGGGCTTATCTGTGAGTGGATTTAGGCGGACTTATCTGGTGGGAGACCTTTTGGCGGCGCTGAGGGCGTTTTTCCATCGATTTTCCTGCCAAAACTGCAGATAAGTCCGGAGTCCGGACTTATATGCCGGATTTTAGGGTATTTCTTTCTTAGAGGCCTGGGGCGATATTATCAACCTCCCGTTCGGGCTACAGGTCTAATTTAATAAAGTGTTGGAAAAAGCGCGTCTCTTTGATTAGGTGGCAAACGTTAGAAGATTGAACGGTTCAACTACTACTCATCGAATAAGATTCAATAATTGTTATGCCGTAAAAAATTTGTCTATTTTGACATTTGATTTGATCAAATAATGAAATTTACTAGAGATTCAAAGCCCGGACTGGAGGGATCGGGCTCTGCAACTCTTGTGAAAAAATGAAACTAATGTCATATCAGACAAATCTCTTCCAACATAACAATCATAGAATCTTATTCGATGACTAGTGAATGAATCGTTCGATTTGCTAACGTTTTGGGCCACCTAATCAATAGACACGGTTTTTAACGCATTTTATACACAAACTAGCTGGCATACCCGGCTCCGCCGTATGTTCCGAATAGAAAATTCCATTTCTTAACCTATCCGAACCAAACTTGGCACACATACACTTCGGGCCCCGGCGGGTGTCACAGTCCACTTTTCGCTATCGATTGATGTCGATTTTAGATTTTTTGCAAAATTTGAGCTAGGGGGCTGGGATTTGGCACAGGGGGTAATCGAGCATGCTGATTACGAATACAATATTAGTTTTCGAAACCGTGCATTACTTTTATCGATTTTATCGATTTTTTGCAAAAGTTGAGCTAGGGGGCTGGAATTTGGCAGGGGGTGTAATCGAGGGGGTGTTCACCCCCCACGGGGGTGATCAGCATGCTCGATTACCTCCTGTATATATAGTAATGAAGAGCCGCTGATAACTCGCCCCATACTGTAAATCTAAGTTAAACCTCGCTATTGAAATTTTTGAGTTTGAAAAATAGTTTATGTATTGAAATCAGCTCGCCAAAAGCCATGAAAGCAAAAGAGTTACTAACGATCAAACAGTGTGCACATCTTTTTGGGACACCCTGTAGATTTAACAAACCTGTTTTCCTCAAAAACATTGAAGATCATATCATCAGATGCCCAGGTCTCATGAACAAAGAACATATGAAACATATGAATGTTTGATAGGAACAGTTTGCCTGACAAAGTTGGAAGTCCCTAAGATCTTATTGGACAAAAATCCAAATTTCATGTATTTAGATTTTGCTTTCAACTTCGCTCGATCAAACTTCCTGCGATCGTTCTAATGCAGTCTTGCAGTTTGCCTTGCTCTATCGAATGATGTTTCCCACATTTTTATATTCACACAACCGCGATCGAACAAGGAACCTGCATTAATTTTCGGGCAACCTAATACTTCGCTCTTTTGTGATTAAGCAAGCTTTAGCCGAATCGAAACTCTCAAAAAAGGAGAACAACATTCTTAAGATGGTTTTTCTTTATCACATCAATCCACGCTATAACAACAGTGAAGTAGCTATTTAAAATTGAAAGAAACGAAAACTTGTGTATCTCGTGAACTAGGAAGAACTTGTGAATCTGAATCTTAATGTAGCTTAGAAATCAGCAAAACACACATTATGAACAATAGTACAACACACGTTTTACTTTCTCCCACAAAAAACTAAAAATATGCTGTTGAATCATGACTATGCGAAAGGAATGCACAACAGCCTGTACTAATACAACACCCAGTAAAACGAACATGTCTCAGCGAAATACACATAAAACAATGGGACTCGTTTGTATACATTGGACACTAATGGTAGTTCAAACTGAGGGAATCAGACAGCGGAGATGAAACTTTTTTTTTTGGGGGGGGGGGGGGGTGAGTGAATCAATAGTCTTCTCCTCTCGACAGTACCTCTTTGCATGTCGGACGAAGCACCAGAGTATGCTCCCACTGTGCAGTGTAACAGCCTTTGACATCGCATAGAGGAGGATACGGATCCACGATCCCCTTGAAATATATCAACACTCGTGAAAATGTGCGTATTAACCGACGATGAATCAAATCACGCAAGAGCAGATATCATCACTCAAAGTCCAATTCATCCTGGCATGCGAATAATGACATATAGAGATAATGCTCGATAACCAACAGAAAACAATCATACTTTCAAGTGAGACTGATTCGTCTGAGCATGTAACAAAAAGTTATTTTGCGTTACTTGTGCAAAAAGACAAAAATTATGTCCTCCATGGGTTTACACCTTGCAACTCATATAATTCTGGTCTTGGAATTAACTTATCAAGTTTTACCTTATCACAAAGGTCCTTCAATGACATGAGGTATTTGGTTTCACCCAATCGATCAACCCATCTTCGGCAAAACGCTAATGTGCCAAAATTCTTATCAATAGTGTTCAACAGAGCCTTGGAGCGAGCCAATCTAAAAATACAAAGTGGTCAGAAAGCCAAACATAGCGATGGCCTCACCTTAGCGGAATGTGTTCCTCAGCCAACTCGAAATTTTTCATATAATGAGAACACTCCATGTCGTCGTGAACATATCCCTTTCCAGTTGATCCGAATGTTTCGATGGCGTAAACCTACAAAGAAGTCTTTGAAGCTAATCGAGATTACTTTGTATAAAACCTCGTTCTCCTCCATTTTAGTTTGATCACCTCCTTTGACAATGGGTACAGTTTTTCCAGCATGAATCCTACAATACATTGATATTATTATTTGATTTATTGGTTACATGCATGGGTACGAAAACAACTGCAGGATGTAAGCGCAGTGCCAGCCTCTCCGAGCACTCAGAGAAAGTAAAGACTTCCCAGTGTCGAAGCACGTCGGATGTAAAGATCATGATCTTTTATATAGAGCTGAGTGTCTGTTTGTCTATCCGTATGTCTGTCTGTCTGTCTGTATGTACGTATGTTCCGAATAGAAAATTTTATTTCAGAACCGATCTAGACCAAACTTTGCACACATACACTTCGGGGCCGGGCGGGTGTCACATGCTATTTTTCGTCATCGATCGATATCGGTTTCATCGATTTTTCGATTGTTGCAAAGTTTGAGCTACGAGGCTGGGAGTTGGCACGGGGGATAATCGAGCATGCTGATTACAAATACAATATTAGTTTTTAAAATCGTCCATTACTTTTATTTTTATCGATTTTTGCAAAGTTTGAGCTACGGGGATGAGAGATGGCACGGGGGAGGGGGGTAATCGAGCATGCTGATTACTACCACAGCGGAATAGGGAATTAGCATGAAGGAGTGGGCACAGGGAAACGTTGAGGAATAGAGTGGGACCTTCATCATAGTGTTTTGACAGGGCCGGGCAGAGTCGGGTAAGCCAGCAGTAAACTTACAAAAGCGGCTGTAGCTAACGAGATAAATAACTGAATCTGATGAGTGTCTTAATGTATCACAGCCGCATATACCTAATTAAACTGTGGCAAAGTGAAGAAAAAGTTGAAGATCATGATGAAGCATGAAAGACGCGACGCTCCACGCCGTCTCGCAGTGCCGTATGTGTTGGTTGGGATCAGGGGGATTTTACTCTCAATTTACACTCCATCTAGCCGATCAGTTCATGACAAGCAGATTAGCATAAAGTTGGTCGCAGGCAGTACCATTCAATTTTGGGTTGACGCAAGAAACTTATTTGATAAAATTCTCCATTTGATTTAAGAAGGCGAGAAGCAATAATGAGCGAAAACGAAGTAAGTGGAAAAACAGTCAGGAAACATGATGGTAGTATGAGGTTTGATAATCACGATAAAGGTTTAGCAATGTCCGCGAGTGCGAGCTTAAAGGCAGCGTCCAGGCAAATCTGGACCTATGGGGCACTCACGTGGAAAGTAATCTTGACGCCCCAAATAAGACTCTGCCCAAGCGACAGTTCAGATAGTGCACTCACGGCTAAGATATTGATCTCCAAACTATGCCCCGTGACCGTATTCGCGTGGATTCATGGCCCGCCACAAGTTTCGCGTGGACGCGCGAAAGCGCCACGAATCCATGCGAATACGGTCACGGGGCATAGCTTGAAGCCCAATATCTTACAAGGAGAGGATACTTAGTCGAAAGCACCAATCCAGATGAGACATATATCATCTTAAAGCGCTTGAAACGCTGATTCCAAATCTGCACTTTCTAGCTGCGGAGCGGTTTTGTGAAGGGAGTTACGAGAGGTGTTTTCTCTGGGGTTGAGGCGCCTTCCACCAAGTCTCCCCCTACTATGAGCACTGTAGAGGAGTACAACTGGTGGCAACTGACCTAGTGACGCGCTTGATAAAGAGAGTGTCAAGGTTTTAATCTTCTTCGCATGCTAATTTGAACTTCTAAATGGCTTTATAGCCCTAAACCATGAAACTTCTGATGATATTGACACTAATCGAAGTTAGAAGTGTTAAAAAAAACCAAATTAATATGAGTATTATAGTCTTTACTGTAATGTTCATTCAAGTTACTTACCATTAGGTCAGTTGCCATCAGCTGATGCTCCTCTACAGTGCTTACAGATAAGGGGAGACCGCTGGAGAGCGCCAAACCTCAGAGAGGAACATCCTTCATAACTCCTTCTACAAAACCGCTCCGCAGCTAGAAACTGCAGATTTGGAACCAGCGTTTCAAGCGCTTTAAGATTATATATGTCTCATCTGAATTGGTGCTTTCGACTAAGTATCCTTTCCTTGTTAGAAGTGAGTGCACTATCTGAGCTGCCGCTTGGGCCATAGTCTTATTTAGGGCCTCAAGATTACTTTCCATGTGAGAGCCCCATAGGTCCAGAGTTGCCTGGACGCCTTTAACGGAAATAGACTTGCCTGTACTGCCCGATGGAGTGACCATTCAGATTCCGAATTGGTTTGACTGTGTAAGTGCGCCCTTCCAGTTCTACTTCATGAGAGGTCATTACCTGCAATCCATATTTTGACCGTATTTCTCAAATCAATCAAATCCAACCTCTTCAATAATTTCTCCCAGGTCACATAATCGTACGTCGATACCGGCTTCGCGAATCCCGGCATTAGTAGCTTCCTTGACCGCATTGACAAGGTTATCGTACTTTGGATCAAAGTGAAGCGTGAATGCACTGTCTATGAGACGTCCGCGAACATGCACACCAAAGTCGATCTACAAAAGATGGTCAAAAGGAGTGAGACCACTGAGAAAAAACAAACAAAAGATAAATAAGTCCCACCTTGCATACGTCACCTTGCTGCAGAACAGTAGTATCGCCATTGTTGGGGGTATAATGGGCAGCCACATGATTTAGTGAACAACCAGTTGGGAAAGCAAGACCAGCCTCAAGACCATTTTCTTTGATCAGCTGCCGAGAACAAGCTTCAAGTCGTTCGCTGAATGAGCATTAGATCGAAATTGAGAAGTACTGCTTTCATACACACCATATCTCTATCATCGTCATTCCTGGTTTCACCCAGCTCCTCACGTACTTTCGAACTTGCCGGTGGACTTCTGCCGATCTACGATAATCCTAAAGTAAAATGTTTACGATATCTTGAGATCTGAACGGTCTGCAAACCTGATACATATCTTCAAAGGAGTTATCAAGAGCCTTTTTTTCTTGTTTACTTTCTCGATCAGACGCAATTCGACCATCTTTTCCTAAAACAAGCACAACACGAGTCGTAGCCGACCTTAAATTGTCCTGACTTACCCATTATGTAGTAAGTTTCACACTGTCCAAGAGGAAACTTCTCGTCTGGAAACTGTTCATCCACAGGCTTCATTGCAGCAACTTCATCATGCCAATCGACCGTTTGCGACTTTTCTATCTCGGGAATAGTAGTGTCACCTCCGCCATTAATGGCGGGAGGTGCATTCTTATCTGGAATAACTAAAAAGGATACCAGAAAGTCAAATTAGAGGTTTGGAAAGATATACAGATAACACGATACCTTATCATTTCCCGCCATGCTATTTGCGTACATAAAATCAATCCGAAAAAATCTCTGCACGATTCAATATAGAAATAATGACTGCGTTCCGAACAACTAATAGATCAATACAAACGAATACATTCAAAAGAAGGTGGTTTTCTGTTAACGTTGCAAAATCATATAGTAAACATTGCTTATACCTTACTATTCATTATGTAAGAAAGCGCAGACTGTATATTAAGATTTTGCTGAATATTTATTTAATAAATGCAATCCGATGGCTCATTGAAACATCCTATTTGAGCCGGCTTATGCCACTACTTCTTCTTAAGAATACGCTTCAAAAGACAGTACAACGAGATATGAATCGCAGATGTTGTCAGATTCTACGGGAAGTCATGGATATGTTGGTTCATCGTAAAATTTGCAGATGCATTGAGTCCAGTCCTGCGCAACTAGCTGGAGTACTGGCGATACAACAATTGAGCGCCAGCAGAATCTGTGTATTTGAGCTGTTCAGCTGTTTACTATCGGATCGCACGCACGACAACGAGAAAGCGATGATAAGTACATTCGAGTAGATTTTCCGCTCAATACAGTTTGCTTGCACTGAACGTGAAATGCGGTAAAATTTGCCGTGAAGAAATAGCTACGCCTGTGACGCCTTCCACTTGCACTTACCGCAATTCACCTACAGTGCAGGCACACCATATTAAGCGGAAATTCTACTCAACTGTAACACTAACACGGTGACAGAGTCTTTTCCACAAGTTTCTGACAAATTAGGGGTTGCCAGGTGTAAAACTTCAGATACAATGCTAATTACAAACAGAAATTGATTTTATTCTGTACGCATGAAATGCAGTCAAACTCCTACAACAAACGTTGGAATTTATGTTAGTTTCAGCACCAGCAATTTTTAATAAATACTTTCACCGTCGTGGTTCTGTCTCGACGAAATACCTTGACACTTCTTTTCATAACCTACGAGATAACTCTGCACGAGATCGCCCGAGTCGCTGTAAGCTGAAAGCGTGCGAGCGTACCTGCAACGCAGCTACAGAGCATGGGCGCTATGAAACTCATGCGCGCGAATGCCAATGTTAGCCCGCAAGAGACACGCGCGCGGGCGTTCAGCCCGGGCGATTTCGTGCAGTCAACTATAGTAAATATCGTGTATTTCTATATCCTAGTTTTATTCCAAAAAGCAAACTCGAAACAGCTAAACTGACAAATAGATGACACAAAATGACAAATCAGCAAAAATAAAACACCAAACTTTCTTTTACAGCTGTGTGATGTCTATCTCGTAAGACTCGACTGTGATATACTGTAAAGAAAGTCATTGAAATTTGTGCCGAAGATATTGTTGCAGAAACAGGCGTCTTTCGCGTATTTCATGTTGAAATAAGCACTTTCGCATTCCACTCGCTCATTCTCCAATGCGAATTCTAAGACGACTATATAGCTGGAAAATGGTGCGCCTAAGAAGCCTGGGGGAGGGGGGGGGGGGGAGGAAGGGAGAGGGCTTCATACCCCGCCGGCAGCCGCCGGTAGCAGCCAGCTGCTTTAGTTATAGAGACGCAAAACCATCAGAATCTTACTACTTTGAGTGCTCCTCTTACGCTTTTCATTGACGCTATTTCTTCTGGTTACCGTCAGTGCGTAGTTCGATCTCACGTATTACATTTGTGTTCATTGTTCTGTTGCCGCACATTGCATCGTATCTGCCCACATTTCACTTTTGCTATCTGTCTTGTCCAAAATAATTATGAGCTATTGTCAAGTCAGAAGAACCCACACCGCTAATCAATTGGCGAACTTGCGAAATATTAAAATGCAATTCAGAGCATCGATAGCCAAGAAGAAGATAGAAGAAGATTGAAGCAAAATCATACTCAAAAAGTACAAATTGCACACCTGCAGAAAATGGACGCATCCAAAGTCAGAGGGAATCACACCGGAAAGAAACTGCGAACTATGGTTCAACGGGATGACCGTTCGGCAACAATGTAATGAAATGAACACAATTATGATATGTGCAATCGAACTACCCACGGCGGCAACAGAAGAATAAGCGTGAAAGACGAAAAGGGTAGGTAGGAGCACTCAAAATAGTATTCTGGTTTTGCGCTTCTATAACAAAAGCGCCCAGCGGCGGCTACGGGCTGCTAGCGGCGGCTGCCGGCGCGGTATGAAGGCACCCAGAGGGGTAGCAATGTTGCGCCCGCTATACACAGATGTATGTTTCGAGGGTGCCCCGAGGCTCTCATTATGCGTGCCTTCCGGATCAGCTAATTTTCTGAAAAAAGTATGACTCAAAAGTACCTCTTCCTACATGCCTTCAGAAACGAGTAATGTGACAATTAAGTCTTTTAACATGTTTCAGACTAGCTATTGATAAATACGTTCATCAATAGCACTCCATATTCGCAGGCAGAGAAGCAGGTCGTGGGCATGACCGCAAAACCCTAGCGACGCGCACTTCCACTATGCCAATTTTGGCCTAGTTAGGATTGTGGCAGACTGTAAACACTTACTCTTCTTCCCTCCTTTTCCTTTTTTGCTTGCCTTTTCTGCACGAGCTTTGTCTTCGACAGCAAGTTCTGCTAGAATGGCATCGAGATCCTGATCTGAAACATAGCTGTTCGACAGAGCGTGTGTGTGAAGCAGATGCATGTTACCGTCTGCAGCAGCCTTTCCTTTTTTGCCAGCTCCTTTTTTCGACATGATAAAGTGTGACTGAACAATGATTGCAAAATGAGGCAAAAATACAGATCCAAAGTATTGACTGAAGAACACAAGTGAATCCACAGAATATGTACAAAACTTTTATTTTTTTCATTAAAAATAAGATGATCAAAACAGTCACGGGAATCAACCAGTATACAGACCTGTGTAAAAGTAGAGCATTCAACCAAATCCACATGAAGATTTCATTGAAAAAGGCAAGAAAATTTGATCGAAAAAGTAGGTAAAACGACACCACCAAGGTCAGTGGTATCTTTTCTTCAACAAATGGAGATAAGAAGAGAAAACAAGTCCAAAATCTACATTACGTTTATATTCTTGCGCAAATCTTTCAAGCTCTGCTTCTTCTCCCTCACTTAAAAAGCTGTCCTCAGTGTCCAAATAATGAGAAGAACACTTTTCGCTGTCAACTAACGACGGAAAAACGTTATTCTCGTCCTCGGCCTCATCGGCTTCAGTAGCTTCTTCGGCATAACTCTGACAAGAGTAAAAGCTTAAGTTGTCAATGTCCGTTAACATGGGATGATCCTTTTGCTCAGCTGCGCTAGATGCAATGTAAGTTGATGGCGGATCCTCAACCATGTCAGCATCCACACATCCCACAGCAGCCTCATTCAAACATTCACTGCTCTCGCACTTCTCTGCTTTTGTGCTTGGCATCGAAGATGACAACATTTCATCACCGACCCCAGTACCTCCCTCGCATATTCTTCCTGCCTCCCTCTGCACATCGTAGTTGAATAGTTTTGCATGGTTATTGAGACAGCTTATGTAATGACGCACTTTTCTGCCCCACAGGTCCGGTGAATCACGTAATGGGACCTGGAACGGCTTTAATTAGTGATTCACACAATGAAGTTTGAACTTTCCATGTTCGGCTGTCTTTTAATCTTGGCATGTTATATACTTGTGTATGGTATTACTTCAGCCAATAGTCAAGATTTTTTATGAACTCTTTATTGGTTAACGTTTCAAGTAAAGTTTGAAGTTGAAGTTTGAACTGATAGTAAATGTCAACGGATAGCGATAAGCACTGCAAACTAATGCAAGCACAGACAGTTGCACATCGATGATGACAGAAATTGTGCGTGAAAAAATTCAAGCATCTAGATTTTGGTGATGAAAATACTCTTTGAATGACTAGTAGCTTCAAAAATGCGTTCCTTACCGATAAAGCTATGCGTAAAAGGTGAATGTGCGCAACTGTGCTGGCGTCAAAAGTGTGTACCTTTCAAATCAGGTACTCTATGCAAAATCTGTTGTAGTTATCTGCTCCGTTTTTTTCTTCCCTTATTTCTTATTGTAAGCTTAAAAATTTTTCTGGAGGAGGTAATTCAGTCAAGATATATACAAACTACAAAACAAGTCGCTAATTTGGCTTGAATACTTACTACAGGTCCAACATGCTGACTTCCATCATTCGCCAAACGCAGTTGAGCAAAACATTTCTCAATTCGAGAGGAGAATGTTTCGAACGATGTTTCCCTGACAGAAGCATAAGAACTTGTTCGCGAGAAAGCACACAATTTGGGCTTTTCCATTTGCGCTTTCTGTCGTATCTTCATCATCTATAAAAACACTTGCAATCACTGACTCAGAGGTCGTTTGTCAATTTGCACCTCAGTACGCTGCTTCTTTTCAATGTCACGTTTTCGTCGCAGCTGTTCCTCAAAAGAACAGCGTAAGTACTGGTTCAACTCAAAAGGTTCTTCATTAGTTTCCCATCGTGCTTTCACATAAGGAAGCCATGCCTGTAATAAAAACTCATAGAACAGCACAGACTCCTCAGTGTGATTAACCTTCTTCGGGACAGCGTTCTGGATTGCAATCAGGTCCTTGCGAGAGTACCGCTTTACTGGTTTACTAGCGAGCCTTCCTACTGATGAACTTGTCGGAGGAAGACTATATGACAACTTACAATATATGATAATCTTGGGTAAAAAAAAACATACCACATTTCTTCCCCGTCAAAATCGCTGTCTTTTTTGCCAACAGCCTTGTCAGTAAGAATGTCCAAGCTTCGTTTATCCACAAATGGCTCAACGGACATATCAAATCTGAACGTGTCGTGGATAAGCACTCACTTAGGCTAGGTTCATACTCATCCGTAAGTTCAGGAACAGTTGCGGCACAGTACACAATTCGAGCGCTGTGCTGGAACTGTTCCGGAACTTACGGATCAGTATGAACCCAGCCTTAGAGTGCAACTGCATTTTCGAAAGTGCATATCAAAGAGGTGGTTTAACAATTTGTGTGCATCACAAATCACAATCTATCACAAACCCTACATGAAAGGTACAATACTTATAGTTACACATACGCTCAAAAAGGTTGAAGCAGACAGACGCACGAACATGAGACATGGCAAACAGGCTACTTACTTGCGCTGAGCATACTTTTTCCAACAATCCATCGTTACACTATCTCTGATAGACAACAGCTCGCCACGCATGTAAAATTTTTTCTTGGCCTTAGCACGAGATGGTATGAACCTGTAAGTAAAAAATGTAGAAAGTTAGAGAATATTTACTTAACCTTGAACATACTTATACTTTATGGCGGCTGTTGATGATAGCGAAGGAGAAGAATGATGTTTGTTGACTTCTGGTTCCATTTGACAGTTCGTGTGTACTGACTTAGCACAGTGACCGTTGTGTTTAATTGTTGCAGTGTCAACACCGCGACTCAACTGAAATTTCATCCCAATAAACACATTCATGAAAAAAAAAACTAAGAGAATGAGTGCAGTGCAATCAAAAAAGTGATAAGAAACGCTTACTCCAATGCTTGTAACCCAATCAATTATGTGAGGCGCTAGCAGATAGCCACTGTTTCTCCCTATTTCTATGATCGTGCTTCGGTCATAGACAGTTCTGAACGAGAAGCTAGCTAGGATCATCTTCGCCAACGAAAACACCAAAATTAAGAACGAACTTATGCGAAGAAGGAGAGATATTGAGATGGTCACTACGTGAGCCAGAGAACAACGTGTCGTTGGTATTCTTGCCTTCTTTCGTAAGCAGTGAAGCTGCATCCTACGAATGCATCAGACTGTATTTATAGTTCGCCGTACAGGATGGGTTTGGGTCACAGCAAGGAAAATTAAGACATACTCGATAAACCACTATAAAGCACCCAAAGTATGTTTCAAGCGACAAACAGCAGAGAATTAGTGGAGGCCATTGTCCCTTTCAAGCGCAAGAAACGAACTCAATGATGAAGTACAGTCGAGTAATTAGATTTCCTGCTTAATATAGTGTTCCTGCAGACGCGACAACGCTGGGGCGTCAATAATTGCTTGAGGAGTTCCCGAGCTAGTGTTTTCCTGTGTTTTCTTTGCTTATTCTATGCTTTTTAGGTGATTCGTCGCTGATAAAGAAGAAAAGAGTAAGTTAGAGAGTAGTTTCTGTTTTCTGAGAAGTTCTATCATCGCATATTCACAGATATCCACATGGAAGCAGTTCGCGTCAGCTTCTTGTCTATTTTTTGTCATTTCATGTCTCTTTCTTCTTGTGAGGTACTTCTTTGAACGCTAGTGGGTTTTCACGATTGACTAATTGTCTTTATCACATGAAGTACTTGATTAAAATGCTATTTCTTGTGGATGAAAGCCGAAGTTGCTGCAAGACAAGCCAACTAGCGTTCAAAGAAACTCCTCACAAGAAGGAGGAGGTCTGAAAGAAGCAGTGACAGAAGAAAAGGAAGTGACAAAAAAAAAATAGACAAGAAGCTGACGCGAACTGCTTCCATGTGGTTATCTCTGAATATGCGATGATAGAACTTCTCAGAAAACAGAAACTACTCTCTAACTTACCCTTTTCCTCTTTATCAGCAACGAATCAACTAAAAAGCATGAAGTAAGCAAAGAAAACACTAAAAAACACTAGCTCGGGAACTCGCAAGGCATTTATTGACGCCCCAGCGTTGTCGCGTCTGCAGGGACACTATATTAAGCAGGAAATCTACTCGACTGTATCTATTTGAAACAGTATTTCAGAAATCGTGACGATGGCGCGACCGCGCGCGACGCGCACACCACTTCCGGAGATCGTATTTCTTGGTTTTCATCTCTAGTCGAATGATTTTTTTTTTGCTTACGTTTGATAATATTTAGACACTGAAAACGACTGAACTGAATGTTGATGATGCCTTTTGTGTGAGCGATTTATGCTCCTATGGGTGCAAGTCCGCAGTTGAAGTCCGTCGTCACGATTTTGTATATGAACTATATCAAATTTTTTCAAACATAACACAATATGAACTATTTATCATTTAGCAGCCTCAACCGCACCCGTCCCAACCCGCAGGAGCCTGCCAAATGAGGGAAGCCAAAGAGATATATCGTCGATTTGTTGACCGCACGGACTGCTCAAACGCTGCGACCGTGTGCGGGGGGGGGGGGGGGGTAAATTGTTGCAGGAGCACGACTTGTACAATGGCGAACCTGTACAGGGACATGCGTTCTACCCCGCGGCGCGTGTTCCGCAGTGATGTCCTGTCCGTGCGATCAACGAATCAACTATAGGAAACTGGCATCTTACAACAGCGTAAGATACCGCGCGCGTTGTAAGTGTACCAGTCACAACTCGAAGGTGATCTCTTTTGCACAAGCATATCTCCTTGGTCCCTTTATTCGGCAGCTTCGGTAGTTCCGGCGGGTTCAAATGGCACCAGTGCGGTGAAGCCTGCCCTAGGCCCGTAAGCACGTACATCCCCATAAAGTGGGGGGAGGGGGGGGGATAGGGAAGGTAAGATGTGGGAAGGGACGCGTGATATCTTCCTCTAGCTTATAAATCTCATACCTTGATGACTGAGCATAAGGATACAAGGACATCGCCGTAGGGGCTGAGAATTTCGACGTTTTGTGTGACCCGCGGATCACCTTTCATTTTTCAAAGCATTTATCTCCCATAAACTCGAAGACGTTCTCGAAATGAAGGGGAATACTACAACACTCCATGTTAATCGTAGAAATGATTGAAATTTTGAGATAACAATTCTTCGGGAGCTGAAGGTTATCGAAAAATTCAGGACCCATTTATTTTGTCGAAAACATGTCTGACAGTACCATGATAGATCCCCAGTACAACTTTACCACGATTTAATCGAGTTTATAGGAAGATAGGCGAGCTTATAAACAATAGCTGATCCCCTGGGGATCACAAAAAGCAGTGAAAATTAATTTCAGCTTGTACGGCAATAACCTGGAATCAACTAGGCCCGACTATCAGAGCACAAACCTTCAAGTAGACAAAGAAAGAAGAATAAAGATAAATAAATAAAGACATCTATAGCAAGGAGATATGACGCGTCCCTTCCCAGATGCCCTCTCCTCCCCAGCGAGGATGTACAGTCGAGTAGATTTTCCGCTCAATATGGTGTGCTTGTACTGTTGGTGAAATGCGGTAAAATTTGCGCATGAACGCTTCTGATGCCGGCCTTGCCCGCGCAGAATGCTGAAATTACTAGCGTAGCTGATTGTTTGAGCGCAAATTTTAGCGCATGTCATCTACAGTGCAAGCGCACCGTATTGACCTGAAAATCTACTCGACTATATATGCGATTCATCGAAAACTGCAGACGTACCCAGGCTCTCTTTCATTTCTCTCATCTGCTATCTCCCATGCACGAACTATTTTGACGCAACGCAAAGCCCAGTATTTGCGTTATGAATCGCCAATATGTGCACACGAGCACAGGCTGCCTTCATACTTTGTTCAAGCGCCGTGCTGGAACTGTTCCCGGACTTCCGAATCAGCATGAACGTAGCCTTGCAAGTGATGGAGCCTCGTGCGGCTCGGGTCCCGCGCGACCGCTCGCTTAAGCTCTGCGCCTCTTTCGTAATGTGCTCCCGATTTCACATCTGACTGCAGGAAAGAGAGGTTCATTCGCCAGTATATCCTGGAAAACGATTGGAGAGCTCGCTCGCGAAAGACGTGCATAGACGAGGCCGCCGCGTGGGACCCAGCCGCACAAGCTCCCATCACTTCTAGTGATTCAGAGCGTATATCTATTCAAAATTCAAAAAGGTGAAATCACAAACTGACCTCTACCGACGAAAGTTTGGGGCATTGTTCAAAGTACGACTGATTCGTTGTCAAATCGGGAGGAGTCTCCGCTAAACCCATCAAGCGGACGTTGATTCCAGCTTTCATCACCATTGCTTTGAACCGGGTAAACTCACGGTGATCGGCAAGTAAGGATACTGCTGCACCATACCCTCCTGTAAAGTGAATAAATTCTCGTTTGATTCGACAGTGGCAAAGTACGCACATCGAAATCGCACCATATCGTGCAGCTCTTCCAATTCTATGAAAGTAGGTCTCTGCACTGATTGCCGTTTCGAGACTGACAACAAGATTTACATTAGAAGCGTCTATTCCACGCGCCGTCTAGAGCAGATAAGTTACTGAACTAATTCCATCACTACGTGCTTACCAAATCTGTCGAAACAAGAACTTTTAGCTTGTTCTGCTTCAATCTCTCAATGACATTATCGCGGTCCTTTTGTGAAATCTGAGCAGAAATCGATGCAGCAATGAACCCAGCATCTTCCAGAAATTGGTGAATAGGTTCACAACTGCAAAAAAAATCGAGACAGATTAGCGTTGTTTAGACATGAATTAGGCGTGATCCAAACAAGACAATACGAGAAGATACAGTCGTTGTCCGCTTAATATAGTGTACTTGCACTGAAGGTGAAATGCGGTAAAATTCGTGAACAAGTAGCCAGACAGTAATGTGGCTGTACGCCGCTCGCGGCGGTCGCTCTTCCGCATATGTCGCGCTCAAATCTTTGGGCCTCCAAGGCTCCCCGCCAATAGAGATTCCGGCGGCGAAAATAGGGGTTGAGGGTGGGGGCAGATATATGACTTGATGCTATAAGTAAGACTGCACCAGAAGTACTGCTGTTGTAAGGGCTGGAGTACGTTGCGGCGTCGCTTTGCGAAAAATTCGCCCCGATCGTACCTCCTGACCGTCCCCCCAGTAATGTCAGCCTTTTGTGCGCGCAATTGGCCGGCGTCACGGGCGCAACATTTGTTCACGCGCAAAATTTACCGCATTTCACCTTCAGTGCAAGCACACTATATTAAGCGGAAAATCTACTCGACTGTGAAAGATCTCCTCCACTGTACTTTGTGTAGCTACAGCCACTTGATCTGATGTTGTTTTGTGATGCCGGGACAGTTTGGCTGTCGAACATATAGCCTAACTTTGAAAATCGCCACGCATAAAGCAAATGGAACAGCCGGGCATTCTTTGTGACTGCCTTTTGTTATAGATATATCAACACACCGCTGATGCAGATTGCAGAAGATCAATGCTTGAGAGAACTGCACTGTCTTCAAAAGGCGAACAAGGCAGTCGGATACCGCTCCATCGCACAACAAAGCGTACTGCTTGATTCCGATAAGTTGTACATCGTCTAAAAATGGAACATCAACCGAAATGCTCATTTCTCACGAAGCAGAGAGTGATCATACACTTACCAGAATTCAAACGTATCAATGAAGCGTTACGCATGAATTTGCAAAGCAGCTGGTCCAAACCTCTAGGATAAGTTGCTGAAAATACCGCGACTTGACGGGAAGGAGGCAATGCAGAGAATAAGTAGCTGGAATAAAAGTTAGAAATTGCTTTTCCAGCACCTTCTATGATAATCCAGTTTGGAAAGCAGTGCTTTAAAATCCTTACTTCACCAAAACTTACTTGATATCTTTTTGGAAGCAGTCTTCCATGAGCTTATCAGCTTCGTCGAGAACAAAAAGATCAATGTTTTCCATATTGAGATGTCCGTTCTGGGCCATCTGACAAATCCTTCCAGTAGTACCAACAACTATGTGCACTCCTCGTTTCAACGCTTGCACGTCAAGATGGACTGGGGTGCCACCAACAAGTACACTAGAATTTGAGATGTAATTGAAAAGAGGGAACAAAAAACATTTACCCAATTCGTGTCTTGAAATGTGCGATCTTCCTAATTACATCCTTTATTTGAGTAGCAATTTCCCTAGTTGGCGCAACGATTATTTTCTGGACAACTTCCGACTGTAGATTCAAATTCTCGACAGCGAGCACGGCAAAAACAAGAGTTTTACCCGTACCAGATTTCGCTTGCACTAGCATATCTGCAAGTGTTCAAATGGAATCATGATATAAAAAAAGTATTTACCTATTCCTGCAATCCCTGTAGGAATTGCTTTTAACTGCACCGGTGAGGGGATCCGAAAACCACTGTTTCTCAGATTTGCCACCGTAGATGGAGAGATCATCAATGACTCAAACGTCCCCACACATTTCACGTCGTCTGTTCGTTGGTTAGCGTCCACATCTATTACTTCGTGGAACTCCATGAATCATGTGAAGAGAGATACCTAAAGCGCATAACAAGTGAAGAGTCTAAAAATGTTGGGATAACTGACGTACTCGTAAGCAAACTACCAAAAAAATATTTGATTTGTTTTAAAGGGCTTCATTGAAAACTCACAAGTCGCCCCTTTGACGATAGTTGACCCGCTGCCACCAATGACATCGATTGGAGCTAATTTTCATCATCGTCCTCATATCAGGGGGTAGGGTACGGGTCAAGAAGCGCGAATTTCATTGCCAGATGCCACCAAATAGCGTTTTTTAGTGTTTAACGTTCTAATAGGTTTTAATTATGTTGAGATATACAGCTCTGACATTCGGCGGTGCGCTTGCTAATGGCCAGCAGTGCGGCCCACGCGCTTAGATTTACGGGCGGGGTCACGTACCTTGCGACCCGCGCGCACTATATTCTCACCGTGCCACCCGCGCGCCTCCAATTCTCACACGCTATAAGCGTAAGGGGTACCCGCGTGAGGTACGACGCTGCGATTAGGCTCCTCCGTCATTCGTAGAGCAATGGCTCATCACTGCTTGGCATCTGATAGTCGCAGGAACATGAGTGGTTTTTCGCCTTTACGAAGGTTATCCCCCGACAGCGTCCCGAATGGGTGCTGAATTTGAATTTTTGAATCCTACGAATTCCAATGCAAATTTTGGAATTTTCTAAATTTGGAATTTTTTTGGACTCCGAAACTGAGGATGCTCACGGCACGACCAAAGAAGAAAAAGAAGCTTTTTGAAAGACTTATTCTCTTGTACATAGCTTAAGGATGGAGCGCTTTCGATGCGGCCCGCGCGCATTACAAAGCGCCGCACGGGGAGCGCGCGCGAGCCGCGCACACCAAATGTCATAGAGGATCGTTGCCAGATTTGTTCAAAGTAACCTCGATATCATCCCATATGTCTTCCCTCAACATGACGTGGATTCCGTGACTTGGTGAGGCGCCGCCTCGCTTCGGGCTTGCGCCACGTTGCGGGAGCATCGTTTGACGTGACGTGGCGGTTAAAACAACATGGTGCGGGTTTTCCCAAGTTATTTCCTGTTGCCCACCACGTCAACGATGCGCCCGCAACGTGGCGCGAGCCCGAAGCGAGGCGGCGCCTCATCAAGCCACGTAATCCACGTCATGTTGAGGGAAGACATATGGGATGATATCGAGGGTATAATACCTTGAAGTAGATGCAAAACATGTATGGGTCAAGAACCGCGAAAACTGACAGCGCAGTTCGTCTTGCCTTTTATCTTTTCTTATGATGTTAGCTTGTTCTTGATTTGACCATTGTCGTATACAGTGACCGCCAAAAAGTTGCGGACAAGCCGCCTTCCTTTTTTCAACGCTCATTTTCGGATGGAAAACAAAGATGAAAAAATGATTGGATTGCATGAAGTGACTAGCTGGCATACCCGGCTCGGCCGTATGTTCCGAATAGAAAATTCCATTTCTCAACCGATCCGAACCAGACTTGGCACACATACACTTCGGGCCCCGGCGGGTGTCACAGTCCACTTTTCGTTATCGATTGATGCCGATTTTATCGATTTTTTGCAAAATTTGAGCTAGGGGGCTGGGATTTGGCACAGGGGGGTAATCGAGCATGCTGATTACGAATACAATATTAGTTTTCGAAACCGTGCATTACTTTTATCGATTTTGTCGATTTTTTGCAGAATTTGAGCTAGGGGGCTGGAATTTGGCAGGGGGTGTAATCGAGCATGCTGATCACCCCCACGGGGGTGATCAGCATGCTCGATTACCCCCTGTGCCAAATCCCAGCCCCGTAGCTCAAATTTTGCAAAAAATCGATAAAATTGATATCGATCGATGACGAAAAGTAGCCTATGACACGCGCCGGGGCCCGAAGTGTATGTGTGCCAAGTTTGGTCCGGATCGGTTCAGAAATGGAATTTTCTATTCGGAACATACGTACACACAGACAGACATACAGACAGACAGAGAGACATACAAACAGACATTCAGCTTTATATATAAGATAGAGCTCTTCATGAGCTACAACCCACACATTGCGCTTTCTGGAAAATGTTTATTATGAAAACTTTAAAAATCTTTTCCTAAAAGAAGTCTGAATATGGCCGCGTCACAATGTCGCGGACATTGATTCTTCGTACGCGAAAAATTTCTTTTAGGTCTTTTCTTGGAGCAAAAACAGAAGTTTTCCGGACAGGTAAGTATACTATGTTGTAGAGCTCATCGAGAACAACAATCGGGTAGCAATACTTACTTCCAAAAAAACCCAAGCTTAAATTTTATTTTGCTTTTTTTAAAAATAACTTTTAATTCCCCTTTTTGAGCCAAATTTCTTCGCATGGGAACCTATTCAAGATATCCGAACAAAGCCAATTGGATAAAATGGATGCCTTTTGATATCTTCTATGCATCCGACGTGTGCTGTCGAGTTTCTTTGCTGAAAATGGCTCTTGACAGTGAGTGCACATGACCCCACCTGCATCTCACCACTGACTTACACCGCTTTGCGGGCTTGTAGCTTGACCGTCAGTCACTCTACGAGCCTGCAAGAAGGCTCCGAAAGAACGTGACTTCCTCGATACGATGGTATGCAAAAGAGTTGGGTTTGAGAAATTCCGGAGATTTGGCGGATGGGGTGATAAAGCGCAGCTTTAGTTGTAGGTTGAGGATTTTTGAGTTAAAGTTGAGCAAAGCTCCTTTCGCCACCAACGCCATCCTGAAACCGTTAATTTTCTTGCAATAGACCCATTTCTGAGCTCTAAGACTGTTCTGATGTTGATAAGAGCCTTCACTCCATTCGCCTCTAAGGCTGCGCTTTATCACCCCATCCGCCAAATCTCCGGTTGTTCCCAAACTCAATTCATTTGCATACCATCATGTCGAGGAAGTCACGCTCTTTCGAATGAGCCTACATGCAGGCTCGTAGAGTGACTGGCGGCCAAGCTACAGGCCCGCAAAGCGGTGCAAGTCAGTGGTGAGATGCAGGTGGGGTCATGTGCACTCACTGTCAAGAGCCATTTTCAGCAAAGAAACTCGACAGCACACGTCCGATGGATAGAGTGTGGCAAAGAGCATCATTTCATCCGAATAGCTCTGTTTGAATGTCTTGTATGGGTTTCCATGTGAAGAAATTTGGCTTGAAGCAGTGAATTAGAAGTTATTTTTTGAAAAGAAGCAAAATAAAATTCAAGCTTGCATTTTTTTGGAAGTAACTACTACCGGATTGTTGTCCTCGGTGGGTTCTACAACATAGTATGCTTACCTGTCCGGAAAACTTCTGTTTTTGCTCCAAGAAAAGACCTAAATGAAATTTTTCGCGTTCGAAGAATTAATGGCGACATTGTGACGCGGCCATATTCGGACTTTAGAAAAAGATTTTTAAAGTCTTTATAATAAACATTTTCCAGAAAGCGCAATGTGTGGGTTGTAGCTCTTAAAGAGCTCTATCAACTCATGCAATCCAATCATTTTTTCATCTTTGTTTTCCATTCGAAAATGAGCTACGAAAAAAGGAAGGCGGCTTGTCCGCAACTTTTTGGCGGTCACTGTATGTGAAAGTTCTCACAACCTACAAGACTCACATAATTTTCATTCTTGTTTGCTCGATTCTTTCGACTTGCAATGTTATGATGTTTTTGTTTACAAAATAATTCAGTTTTATTATTGGAACATTGAAGCTTCGCACATAAAAAAAGCACCAAAAATAATCCCGAGTGAGTGTTCAAAATTATTAACCCTGTGCGTGCGGCAATCCGTCATGCAGGCGATACCGCTACGACTAGCAACACCGGCGCCCTCTCGCTGCGGCATGGCAAGCCGCCCGCACGGAACGAATCTCTGAGGGGTCCTGAGTCTGCGGAAAATTTCTGCAGAGCGCTGCTGCTCCTCAACTTCAACCCTCTAATGGTAAGAGCCAACTCCAGCCAACGCTCCTAGCTCAAAGTCACTGGCGAGTCATGTACTCTTTGATGGGTGTCCATTTTCCTGATTTGTGTCTGAGTGCGTATACTTCGACCGGGAAAAAATCCATTCGGTGTGGAATTCTGATTGAGTGCTGAACCTACACAGCGGTTTGGAAGCACCTGTATGATTGCAGCTCCCGCGATAGCATGCACGATGCAAGTCATCCGCTTACGGTAGCGGGGTTTGGTTTGTGGATGAACAGGGTAAGCGTGGATGGCACGCCACACCTGGTGTATCGTATTGAGGGATCAGCATAGTGCGATAGGGTGAGCAAAAGCTCACCCCCCCTCACTTTGGAGGTCGGACCGCCCCCCCCCCCCTTCACCTGAAAGGGACGAAAAAATTTTTTCAAGGTGAGGAATTACTGCACACGGAATTACAAAAATATTGAATGAAAAAATGCATTTTTAGAAGGATCGGATGTTGTAAAAATGGGTTCGAACTACAACGATATGGGCAGCGGGCAATGGCAGACATTAAGAGGCTTGTAGGGCGCTGATGGACAGCTTTATTGGAAAATATTGATGTGAACGATGTTAATAAGAGCCATTGATCATGAATTTTTTTGTAAATAAATTGTTTTGTCGGTATTTATGTGCTACAATGAAAGAATTTGTTGTTCATTTGTGTTTGCTCAGAGCATAATAAACATATAGAGTCCAGGATAATGATAAAAATAGTATAAATGATGTCAGGTGAAATTTCTAGGGCAGTATAGTTGAAATCACAGTGTTGGTCATTTTTAAGGAAAGTCAGTTTTTGAGTTAGTATAACTTAAGTCAGTTGCATAATATCATCTTGCGAGAGTATAGGCGTTAGTAAGTAACCTATATCATATAGAAAAAAAAACTGGATCCTAAAAAGAATTCCTCTTATTACGAAGTCGCAAATAGAGCAGAAAACACAACTCCAAAAATCGATTTTTCGCAAATAACTTGTGTATATGTAAACGAATTTGAGGTGCGAGGGTATAGGTAGATTCTACTCTTCAAGAGCTCTCGATTGATATATAGCATGTTGGGGTCCTATGTTTTTTAAGCCCTGCGAGGGTGGGTGAGCGGCCTCAGTTCAGGGTGCTCACCCCCCGCCACCTTAATGCATTAGAGAGGCGCCGGGAGGTGAGCAGGCTTAACTGGGACTGCTCACCCCCCTCGCAGG